TGGGGCCACCTCCTCCCAGGAGTCCCACCTTCCCCATTACACCAGCCAGGGACAGGCAGGAACTCATGCCCTGGGCTTCTGCCAGAGAAAACAGGGAGGGGCATAAAGGAAGAAGGGGAAGGCAGCCTAAATTTCTCCCTGCCTGGAGTGTCCACTGCCTCCTCTAAGACTCCTGTCCTAGCCATGCACAGAGCTGGCCCCTCATGTAGTGTCTGGGGATAAGGACAGTGGGACAGGGGCTGTTCCACAACGCTCATGTCCCCAGGTCTCTGGCCCAACTGGCTGGAGTAGGGTAAGGCAATGGTTCCAGAGGTTGTGGGGTCTCAGAGCAATGGCTGCTGAGGTCCAGTGGTACTGGCCGGGCTGGGAACCATTGGTACATTGTGCATGCCATGAGGTGGCATCTCATGCACACACTGTCCAAGCCCTTGTGTGTGCCCCTCCATGGACATGAGGCTGGTTGCTCTGCTGGAGTCCACATGTGGAGGGAAGCCATGCGCCCCTGAGTGTGCCCTGCCACCCTCATCCAGGGGCCGGATCCACTTTGAGCTGGGCTCACGCGGTTCCCTGTCCAATCCTCATGAGATAATCATGAAACTGAGGCCAGGAAAGGTAGAAATTGGTTCAGAGCGAGGTGGGCATCCATATGGGAAGAGGATACCTAAGATCCTGGGGCCCCCTGCCCACTTTTCCCATGTGGGGCCGATTCTTCTGGCTATTCCCACACAAGGGCATGTGCACACACACACCCCCCATTCTAACTATCCATCTATATGCTTAGTATGCTTAGTAATATATAGTGTAGTACTTCAAGGTTGGGAACCACATGTAGCTTTCAATTTGGTTCTTCTACTGCCCTCTAATGGTCATTTCTTAAAATGCAGACAAAGCTGTTTCCCACATTTGAAACTATTAATGCAACCCAGGTATGTGAATTCTGCTTCAAATTTTGGATTTTTGGAGATGAGAAACTTAGCAGAGTTACCTATGGAATTGAGCAATGAGGTAGAAGACATAAAAACATTTTGAATATTGTGAGGCTATTTTTACAATATACAAATAATTTTTTGAATTTCCAAAAATAGTTCATAAATTGAAGCAATGTGAAAATAGTTTTATATTTCTGTGAGAAGTTAAAAATGTAGGGCTAATGTGTTTTTATAGACATCATTTTTAAAAATAATTATTTTATTGGTTATTTAGATGGATACAGAGAAAATTGGCAAATTGTAAACGAATACCTATATTTAGAATGTGCTTCACTTAAGCTTGGGAAATATTTAGTGACTGTAGAGATGAATTTATTTATTTAGGAGATACAATTGAGGAAAAATAATTGTATGATTAAAAATAGTTATTTATTAGTTGAAAATAATCCTTCTAATATATAGTGTAGTACTTCAAGCTTGGCAACCACACGTGGATTTTAGTTTAGTTCTCCTGCCCTCTAATGGCCATTTCTCAAAATGCAAACAAAGATGTATTTTAAGGGGAAACGTTTGAAACTATTAATACAACCCAGGTGAGTGAGTACCACTTCAAATTTTGGAGATTTGAGGAACCTGAGAAATTTCCTCCATCAGTTTCCTCATTTTAACTTTGCAAAATAAACACTATATCTCAAGTACATACTCTCTTGAGATTACAGACGTAAAACTGAGTTTTGGCATCTCTTGACCATTTGACTAGTAAATTATCCAAAGCTACAGTAATTTCCTGTAAAATTTTTACACAATATAATCTTAGACTTTATAACTACTGCACAAAGGGTGATTGCAAATAAACAAATAAATGAAACACTTTTAAATGTACTGCTTCCCTACTACTAAGTCCTTTGTATACTGTATTTTTTTCCTCTCATAACCACCGCATACACATTGTGAAGTATATACAGTTTTATTCAGATTTCATGAAGAAATAAAGTAATACTAAGGGAGACTAGTAAAACTTAGGAAGTGGTACACCCTGGCTTGAAACACTGAGTTTGGTGCCTTAACTTTTCTACTTTTAAAAATATATCTATTTAATTAAGTTTGAATTGATTTTGAGCTATTTAACCAGGATAATTTGGTACTGTACCTCAATGTTTTAACATATTACTTTAAGCAGCATTTATGTATCACATTTTTTCATGTTAATGTATACCAGTCTCAAAGACAGGTTCTTCTCCAAATTTTAAGAACCAGGCCCCATTTTAGAGAAGGTGAGTTTTAAGAAATCTAAACAAGTTTTTTTCATTTTTCAACTGAAGAATTTAAATACAGGAACTAGAGCTTCGTGTCCTCTTTATGATAGACAGCAAACAGATGCTTGTGGGCCAAGAAAAAGTTAACTCTGGAGAAGTTACATTGTACAGAATTGAGGATGATTTCAGATAAAAAGGATTATTGGCTTCAAAAAGATTTTTCAGACTACACTTTTAGAGTCCTTTCTCTAAAATAGCTTCATTAAAAAAATCCCTTTGGCATTTCTCTAATAGCCAGTTCCAAATCAGATTATTCCTGGGTTAAACGATTAGTTGTCTACGGACAGGTCACTCTGGTTAATTCTAGCCAGTAATGACTTTTCATCCCTTGGATTTCTATGACATTTTGTTTAAGCTGCTTACACAGTACTAACTTCATACATAAGAACAATGGGGCAACCCCTAAGAACAAAAGAGAAAGAATCACCCCATAAGAGTTAAGCACAAAAAACTCATACATAAGCAGCAAGGTTAGCTGCTTGTAAAATAATCAGAGATATATCTGGAAATGGGTGACTCTTCACAGGTTCAAATTGACTGAAGTCTCAGGGAGGCAGATCAGAAACTCAGCCACAAATAGGAAAGCTCAAATCTAAAGCCAGTTTTACTTTCTCCCGTGTGAAGAGATTTTTAAAATATTCATGAAACCGTTTTTATGTTAATTTAATAACAGCTATGTGAAATAATTAAAACCCAACTGTTCTGAATATTAATTCAAGCAATTCTCACCCTCACCCCCAGGAGATGGGTATTCTAGTTAATCACACGTTCATGATGAATAAACTGAAACACAGACAAGTTCAGTAACTCTCAGGATTCCACGTGATGGAGCAGGAGTCTTTCCTAGATTCTAGGGTCAGCACACATAAACACCCCACTCTACACTGCTTCAGTTAAGATGGTGTACCTTTGTGATGGTTATTTTTATGTGTCAACGTAGCTAGTCCGGATATTTGGTCAAACATTATTTTGGGTGTTTCTGGATGAGATTAACATATTAACTGGTAAAGTACAGCAGATTGCCCTCTCTAATGTGGACAGGTATCAGCCAACCACTTGAAGGCCTGAATACAACAAATTAGCTGACTTTCCTGAGTAAGAAGATATTCCTTCTGCCTGATGGCTTTTGAAGGGGGACATTGGTCTTTTTCTGACCTGGACTCAGCCCAGAATTTACACCATTAGCTCTTTTGGTTCTCAGACTTTTGGACTCAAACTGACACCATTGGCTCTCTTAAATCTCCATCTTGAGTGTTAATATTGGGGCTTCGCAGCCTCCATAATTGTGGGAGCCAATTTCTTATAATTAACACACACACACACACACACACACACACACACACAGAACCTAGACTAGTACAGATGTTTGCCTTGAGAATGGGGCGATTACACGTGACACCCTCATGTGCTGTAAGCTCTCCAGAATGGGGACATGTATGTTATCTTCCCACTATATATCCAGCACCTGTTCTAATTCCAGCTGCAGCACACTCCCCAGGTTAAGCATGTTTACTGGGGAGAAGTGTCCAGATAGCAAGGATCTGCCTTTATTCTTTTCACACAGCACTGTCAGGGAAAGAAGGGGTCGGATCCGGGGAAGAGGAAGTATTCTTTCATTCATGTATCAGGCACTCAGTGTGTACACAGTATACAGTATGAAACAGATCTTGTGCTAGGTGGAAGGACACAGATAAAATACACAATCCCTGCTCTCGTGGATCTCTCACTTCTTAGTAAAATCGATATGGATAAAAACCAATTCATATTGAGCGGATACGGACCTAATAAGTGGAGCTTCAAAAGACATGAATCCAAAGCTGACAGAGCTAACTTGAAGGAGAAATAGCACCATAATCATCATTTCAATATGCTGCGATTTCAATATGCTGAGCAGTAACTGATCATAACAAGTAGACGGCAAATCAGTAAGGACAGAGAACACCTGAACAACTTCCTCCACCAACGGGGCAATACGGGCATGGACCGAGCGCTGAACCCACACAAAGCTGCACATTCTTCTCAGGAGCACCAGGACCACTCGCCGAGACAGACCGTGTACTGGGCCATGGAATGAGTTTTGGATATGCTTAAAACGACTGGAACCCACCAGTATTTGCATCCTCCCTGGCCACAAACCCTCCTCTCTGGGTGCAGGTGGTGAGAGCTCGGAGGGGACAGGGTTGCATTCCGCGGCGACAGGCAGGAACTGCCTGCAATTACACGGACCTGAGCGCAACAATGTGAGACAGCGCGACGGCGGGCAAGATTGTGAGATACGCGGCAGCGGAACGCAGACAGGTCTCGACCCCTAGTGGTGACGTCAGAGGGGAGGCGTGTCAGCCGGGAGGCGTCCCCCGGTTTCTGGCTGGGGTAACTGGGTGATGATTCGGATCCACAATAATTTAAACAAAGCACAGGCCCCGAAACCAGAAGTATCGCTCTCACTCATCTGCCCTCTCAAGCCCCGCCCGGTTACCAAACGTTTTGGAGAGGAATCCACAGACACAAGCGGCCGTAGAGCGCGCCCCGGCGTTCGGAGGAAAGGAAGTAGATTTTACGGCGAGCCGTAAAGTAGGGTCTACGGTGAGGTGTAAAGCACGTTCCCTTCCGGTTCACGACAGCAGTCCCGACCGTCTCAGCCGGCCTTCCTCCGGTAAGCGCCTCTGTCGACCCTCGCGAATTCCGTTCTTTGCTCTCTCGGGCCTT